AAAAAAAAAAAATCGTATAACTCGCAGAATATTGTAAGTCAATTATGCCATTTGCCCCTTGTTTCTCTAGCTCTTCTTCAAATCCGCTTCCAATAAGTAACACAGTGAAGAAAACTTAAACGAACTAAGACTAATATTATGTGCAGTCTAGTACTTTAGTTGAGGTCACTTTACCCGCACAGCATGTTGTGTTGCAGTTGTTCGGAGAGCGAGAGAATTGGTAGACGTGGCAGAGTTGAGTTTATACGATAGATGCAACAAAACTGCCCATCCAAGCTTTATGGTTTGACATTGTCGCAATGTCTCTTTGATCAATTTGGGAGACTTTACTTCAACTCCACGATTTAATCCGATTAGTTGTTAATAGTGCCGAGCAGATCCAAACGTCTGGTAAGGTTAGAGTAGCTCCTTCCTTTCATATGTGATTCATTTCTCACCGCCCATTGCGAATCTCTTTAAAAAGGGGCGTATATCGTTTCATTTTAGCAGCAAGACGCAAATGTAAATTCGGCTCATTAGGCTTTTCACCCTTAACTCATGTGGCAGTCAAACATCGAGAATGGCTTTGCATCCAGTCTTACGCAAATAGTTCTCAATTATTTTATGGTTAACATTTAGTTCTACAAGCATTGTCATAAAATGCGATAAGCCGATGGTCTATCTGAAGGTTTTAAAGAATTTTATCGACGCAAAATGAAAAAATTTTCGGCCAAAGCAAGGCATGTCTTCAACGTCGAACTTGACAAAGCAAAAACGAGTAAATCATATGTACGCTGCTTATATCGTTAAATCATCTTCGCCTTCACCTTAAACACCACAAATGATTTTTCTTTTTTTTTTCGAAAACTTGGCCCCATCCATTCCATTCTCAATAGTGTTCGTTCGTGTGCCGTCCCGGTACCAAATTTCATTAAAATATTTCAAAAATTACGACCTGTAGCTTGAACAAAAATTTACTTAGACTGTCATCGGACGGACAGAGAGGCTTAGATCAATTCAGATTAAAATTCTGAATCGATGGATAGAATAAACGATGGTCTAGCTTAAGTCTTTCTGCGCATTGTGTACGACCGAACTAACTTAATATATCCTGTACCACAAATGGTGTAGGGTAAAAAAAAATATCTTCTTTGCAGGTATCAAATGAAAGGAGCTGGAGAGTAGAATGCGACAAAGTGTGTTAGCTATAATTTAATTACGTCGAACGTAAATTCTTGAGGCGTTTCGAAAAAACCGATTTCTTGGACAATTAAAATCTTGAGTGGATCAAGCGTTTATGTGGCTGGGTAAGGGAGATCCGGACGCCCTTTCTTACTTTCCTTCTTGCCCCTTTTTTTTTTCTTATTTAATTTTAGTTTGGCTTAAAAATTAGCGAAAAGTGTTTCTCTAATGTGGAATATCGAAGTTTTATTGTTTTGTTTTATGTTGCAGGAGTTTCTTGGCGGGCCATTCAGATCTGTGTGTGATTGTTGTGGGCTTACTGTATAGCAGCATTTGTATGCATTCGCGTATCTCATCATGTCATTGGCAAGCAATATCGATTATGATTATTTAATGAAATTTCTGGCTTTGGGTGATACCGGTGTTGGTAAAACAAGTTTTTTATATCAATACACTGATGGAAAATTTCATTCACAATTTATATCAACAGTTGGTATTGATTTCCGCGAGAAACGTGTGGTACGTATTTATTGAGTCTTATCTATCTTACGTTTTAAGGGCTATTTTGTCACTTTCTCTCTCTCTCTCTCTCTCTCTCTCTCTCTCTATCTTTTTACAGAATTACACCTCACGTGGCCGCAACTATCGGATTCATTTGCAATTATGGGATACAGCCGGTCAAGAACGTTTTCGTTCTTTAACCACAGCCTTCTATCGGGATGCTATGGGTTTTCTGCTAATGTTCGATTTAACGAATGAAAAATCATTTCTCGAAATTACTAACTGGTTGGAGCAATTACGTATGCATGCTTATTCGGACAATCCTGATATTGTGTTGTGCGGTAATAAATGCGATTTAGAAGCAACTCGTGTCATTAGCATTGAACAAGGGCAGGCGTTAGCTAATCGTTACCAATTGCCGTATATTGAAGCTAGCGCTTGTACCGGCCTAAATGTAAAACAAGCGATTGAGTTATTACTAAGTCAAGTAATGGAACGTATGGAGAATTCGATGAACAATCCTGAGCTGGCCCGTTTAATGTTAGGCGGCAGTCATACATCAATAATTGATCGAAATTTACGAATGTCTATAAGTGCTGAGGAGGTACAAAATAATGAAGATTTTACTAAAAATCAATGCAATTGTTGATTGAAACCGCAAAGAGAGAGACAGAGAGAGAGAGAGAGAGAGAGAGAGAGAGAGAGAGAGAGAGAGAGAGACTTAAGGATATTTTAAGTAATTTTTTTTATATGCCGCATTAAGTATTAGAGTTGAGGAAAGGATTTAAGTAATTTTGTGTCGAAGGAACTCTTTTGTCAGCCACTACCACCCCATACGGTGACGATACTTATGCAAATGTACGCAAAATATAGAAAGACTTGGAATAAACCCAATTTTCATTTTATTTCAGCATTTCCGACTGCACGCCCGGCTGATGTCCATCTACTTATTTTATTTATTATATTTATTTATGCTCTTCACAAGACAACTTTTACGAACAATATCCATATAACGACTTATTTTGAAAAATCGTTTGTATGAAAGTAAGTTAGGACACATTAATAGGACGACCCTTAAAATTATCCTAAATTGCTTCGCTTAATATAATTGCTCATATTTCCACGTAACCAAATATCAAAAGTCTGACAATGTGAACGCTTATATGGGAGCACTTGTAATGGTCTCAGCCAGTTTAAATTGTTAGGCCAAAGTAAAGATTTTTCATATTAATTAACCACGAGGAACAATCTCTAAATCGATGTCTTAGAGGACTTTAAATAATATTTATATCATGAGAAATCAGAAATCATTTGATTTTTTCATTGTTACACCCACCACTGAAGGATAAGGGTATACTCATTTTGTCGCTTTTTCACAACGCATGCAAACTCCCAAAAGAAAGATTCAGAGTTTCTATAAGGTATATCTGTGCTTGAAATACTGAATTGATTAAGTAATGTCTGCCCGCAATTAATTTTTTTTTGCTTAGTAATACCAGAGATATGGATATCAAATAAAAGATCTTGGAGAGTAAAATGCGAAAAGCATCGATATTCAGCACCCGCCGAATATAACTTTCTTACTTGCTTTTTGTTTTTTTTAAAATAATTTCTAAATAATAAAATAAATGATAAAATAAGTGTTGAGTTCAAATCATGGTTCGTATGCTTAATACACCAGCTATCAAGATGTAAAGCATACTAAATACATTACTGCTAGCATTGTTATGCTTCATAATCCATTTGTAATAATATTGAACATCAGAGTAAACACCTATTAAGTAACAAATGTGTTCAAAAAAAATAAAAAGTCATTTAATAATGAAAATATCTACCTGGAGATAAGGGCTGAGCGCAACCTGTGCCCCACGACACTACTCCGACCAAGGTATTGTTACAAATTAGCGGACCACCCGAATCGCCTTGACACGAATCAGTGCCGCCCGCTAAACGACCAGCACAAATCATACCTTTATACAAAGCATTTCCGTAGACCATTGAGCATATGTCTTGACCTATAATGCTCACATTTGCCGTACGCAATAGTGTTGATAACACATCCTAACCGAAACAATGAATAAAATCTGAATTTTATTCAATCACAAAATAAGCAAAAGCAATCTAAAGACCTACCTGTTCGGTTTTACCCCAACCAGAGATTTGACAAGTAGTTCGATTAAGTGTTGTAGTATTTGCCATATCTATAGGTGCAACGGTTAGATGAGTTTTATTGATAGGTAAACCCGTTTTTAAAAACATTAAACCAATATCATCACGCATCGTTTCCATATCAAAAGTTTTCATATACCCTATGGAGCTAACATGGGAAACAATAGTACCATTGACACGTTTAAAACGATTTAAGGTACCCAGTACGACAATGAACTCGTTCGGTCTACGGTAACGCTTCGTTTCGTTACTGAGAGAGAGAGAGAGAGAGAGAGAGAGAGAGAGAGAAATATTGATTTCAAATTTCTTTTAATTCATTTTCATCAGTCAATTATTACTTACTTGTATAAGCAGTGAGCAGCCGTTAAAACTTTATTTGGCCCGATTAGAGAACCACCACATATATGTCCATTGCCGAAGGGAAAATCGCGTTGTTTTATTCGTATGGAGACTTGATGTTTAGTTTCTTGTACAGTAGCCGGAATTCCATTGATAATGCGCGGTTCCACACTATCATCAGCCAGTGAAACCTTGATAAATGCGACTGTATGTAAATAAATAAACATTCGTGATTCATTATAGATAACTTGGCTTGAAGTTTACAATCGATTTCTAGTAAAACGTCAAAAACTGAATATAATTACTAGCACTGATAAGAGTTGGGAAACAAACAAAAGATATTGAAATAATTCTTAGAATGCTACGTAACTAGTGCATTTTTCTCATATCGATTAGCTAAGAACGAAAGTTAACTATATTTTTGATTCTCTTTGTAACATAAAGGAAAACGCACCCATATTTATATATATATATATGCTTTGATAATATGTTTCGAAACATAACAGAAACAATAAACTGTAATGTAATAACTGTAAAAATATTAAGCCTTTAGAAGATCATAATTTGTATATTCATTCAACACTCATGCGTAAACATGCGACTATAGAGCTAACTAATGTATTTATTTATGTATGTATGTATGCATGTATGCTTCAATGCATTATGCTTTAGACCATTAATTTTATAGGATTTACGATTAATCGATAGTGGATCCATGACGTTTCTCTAAATGCCCTTTAAGCTGCAGGTAGACGACTATTTCAATATGACGAGAGGAGTTTCAACGGTTTAACGCGATGGCAATTCAAATGAAATTTTCATTGAAAATTCTCGACATTGACTAATCGTGAACCGGGTTTGTGGTTCTTAATATCGAGTAAGCTCGATAGCTATATAGATTATGGATTCAGTGTGACAAGTCGAGCGTTTACAGCTATCAATATTAAAACTGTTTGCTGTCGACTAACATATTCATACTACGATCGAGTTTACTCGATCTACGAGAGAAGTGTAAAACCGGCCCCTGACTTTGCGCAAAGAATCGAATTGATTTTATTTCAATTTAATTCGAATTATAACTGCGAGCAAAAATTCGTGCATCGACCTTCTCTAGTATGGTGTTATTGAACCAATTCAAGCGATTTTTACGCTGAACTTTTTTCGCATAACTTTAAAAAATATCCGGCTCCTGCCTCGACTCAAATTGTGAGTTATTGCTGCAGCCGTAGGTCATTGCATTTGTCTGCTGACAATTCAAACATGTTTTTTACAATTGTGTCAGCAATGAATGAATCTACGACATTATGAACTGCAGCACTGCCCCTTACCGTGAGCATGGGAGTGCAGCTTACATACGTGAGAGAGAGAGCGTGGGTGTCAAGTCTGCGATCAATTTCTGATTCTGTTCTTGGGAAAAATGAAAATAATTTGCAATTTTTAATATAGTAAAGTTAGCAAGAAGGTCTAACTATTGCCAATGAATTCCCCTAACGGATATCTTTTTTACGAAAACTTTTATCTTGTATATCGTGATCTGTTAACGATGGACGTTAAGCTTTTTTTAGGCCAGCTTTTTATGTTAACCACTATTTATTTCCACATAAGCGATAGAAATTGTGAAAGATTTCTCTCTTAACACTTGTTTCCCACATAGTTTACAAGGATTTCATAAAACGATTATGCCAACGTTTTCTTTCTTAATTAAAAGCTAAGCGGATTGATTGTTAATTATTTAAAAAAAAAGACGATAAATTAAATACACTATTAGGGTAATGCAGACCAACATCGAATCTATGGCAAATTCTTTTAAATTTCAATATTTTCTCTTGCGTTGCGTTTACGAAAGATTGCGTTAAGTAAAGCAATGTAAAGACGGTAATCTTAGTTGACTTTTCAATTATCTTCTAAGTTTACCTACTCATTATTAGCACGTGTATAAGTATCATTTTAACGGTACTTAATATTGTCAAGATTTTTAATTTGTAATATTTCCGAGTAAGCGTAATAGTAAGCGAATAATAAATAAAGACAACAAAGAAAACTTTGTCAAGTTCTTATTTAATTGAAGGTTAATTTTCAACTAATATAGAATCAATTGAATCGTGAAATCTACGTAAAGTTTTATTAACAAAAATGAATTGCAAGATAGTCAATCTTAATATATATTGAATAGGAAAAGAAAGATAAAAGGCGAACAGTACATAAGTACATTTGATAATATTATCAAAAAAGATAATGTAACGTAACTATAATTATAATATGAACGAAATATTTCCAAAGAAAATGTTTAGCTAAAAGAAGAAGACGCAAAAAAATAAATAAATAAATAAATAAATAAAATTTTTCTTTAAATATTTAAAATTGTTAACTTTATTTGAATATGTATAAAAACTTAAATCTAAAATATATTTGTATTCGAATCAAAATACACACATTTGCATATATTCATATATATGAAAAAGCAAAAAAAAAAAAAAAAAAAAAAAAAAAAATGAAAAAAATTCTTGAAAATACAAAAATTGTCGTCAATACAATACTTTGATCTACAAAATGTTCAAGTGATGTATAAATATAAAAATTGCCTTTTCATAAGGCACATGTTCTATGTTTTTGCATATATTGTAAATAAAATTTGTAGAAAATTTGTGATAATAAATGGACGGATTCTTCCAAGCTTCCAAGCGCCGGCAACAATGTACTTTTCATTTTAAATTACAAACTAATAAAGAAAAAAATATTTTCTTAAGAATTAAGTTGCCCGTAACTAATTTCTTTCTTTTATATATAACCAAGACTGCGTGATTGACTATGATGATGATGACGTGAAGGATGATAGCCGGGCTCTTGCATTTCCATTTGCATAACTAAATTCTTTTGTTCGCCACGCATTTCGTAGGCTTCTTTCGATTCGCGACGAAATATTATTGCAGCCAAAGCTAACAGCATAAATGTTACAACTGCCAAGGCATATGACCAGCCTAGAACATTAAATTTTGGATACATTAACCAATCGCGACGATAGGCACAACCGCCGAATATGGCAACAGCCAGAAACATAAAGAGAGCTGCAAATTGAAATGTTTTTTTTTTTGTATTTTTTTTTTTTTTTTTTTTGATTATGAAAATATGCTCGAACTTACATGATAACGCCGTACAGAGAAAAGAAATGCGTACCAATAACCATTCGTATTGTAAAACACCTTTTAATGGCAAACGTATTATGGTTAAAGCTAATATAACCAAAACAATAAAAATAATAATAAAAGCCAAAGTAACAAAAGCTTGGACAGTCATTAACCAACCGGGCAACAACCATTCACGTATGACATAATATTCCTGAAAAAGATTTTGTTGAGATTATGTTAAAGTAATAAATAATTTGCTTACTTACATGACTGAAGATATCATGGCATCCGGTAAATTTACGCTGAAATTGATAATTCGGATAAATAAAATCCTTGAAACAATATTGCCACAAGCCCATATTCTTGAAACTGCTACGAGTTTCCTCATACGATTCAATCCAATAGGGCGAACAAAATGCCATCATTAAGAAAAAATATGCCAAAAATGTTATAATGGCGCCAAATACAACACCATCTTAATCGTTTAGAAGAAAATAAAAAAGAAATTGAAATTTATGATAATAAACTTTTTAAAAGCAAAAAAAAAAAAAAAAGAAATAATTTCCCAGAATCGGTGCAATACTTAAATAGACACTTGCTTGCTTGCCTTTTCTGTTTTTCTTTTAAATCTGTTCGAATAATGAATGAATCTTGAAACTAAAGAAAACATATTTTATCAACGCAGTGTGAAAACATGATACGATCAACTTTAGCTTATCGTTTGGACATTGGCTACAAGAACTATTCCCGTTCAGTCAATTCGATTGATTCAATTCTTGCTATGGGAGAATATCCCAAATCTAAATGACTGAGTGCGTCTTGGAATAGTCTACGATGAGAATACCTATATAAAAGACACAGGCATATGAGTAATACAACACTTGCCTTGCTTTGATTAGTGATCAAGAAAAATCAAAATAATATGACCGAAGTAAGGTCATTGAATAGAAGCTACTGTAGTTGTCAAACATCAAGCATTTTGAGTTATTTTTTCCTCTTCCAAAACAGAAATGATCAGTTCGAGGAACGTGATTCGGATTGATTCACATCATAAAGAATATTAAAAAAAAAAAAAAAATTCAATGAGCTTTCGGAGGGGTCCCTAAAAAGTCTTTAGTACTCTTACTAAGCGTTGCTATGCTCAACGCTAACTATGTTGCTTCAAATAAGAGTCCATTTAAAAAATTTAGACTACAATTTTCCTTTAAACTTGTCGTATAAGCTATCGTCTACTACCTATGATTGTAACACAACGTAATTTGGCATAGGACTTCTCAAGAATGCACGTATAAAAAGAAAAAAAAATTAAATTTCAAGCTCGGACATTGCTGAACGATTACTTTTCAATTTATATCTGATAATAATACGGAAAAGTATTTCAATCTAAATCTTATTGGGCGCTTGCAAAAATTCCGATCAGCGATTTCTGCACGTAAAAATGATGAATAAATAGGAAATACCAGTGTACACAACGCTTGAATTCGACGGTTTTGCCCTTCCTCTACCTAAAACAACAGTTTTCCATTTAATATCATTAATTTAATCCGCGTAAGCCGAAGCTAATCACGGAGCACTCAAAATTCCTCTTCTTCCAAATTGATTACTTCTGCTGCCGAAGTCCATCCAACACGTTCAGAAGCTTATGGTGATGCTGCCACATCATATCTCAATTGTCGGTTTTGGTTTCAACGGCTTAAACTGAAACTGCCATTTTTCGGCCATTTGTTGCAAGAGTTGTCACAGATACACTCGAATGTGAAGTTCTTCCGCGCCCACCAAATTCCTCAGACGTGGCGCCTCTTGATTACCACTTGTTCAGATCCGTGCAGCATGGCTTGGCTGGCACGCGGGTCCGCAAAATTGAAACAGAGCGAAAATGGATCGATGGGTGGTTCGCTGCCAAACCTATATAAGTTTTTTTCACATGACATCGCCATGTTGCCCACAATATGATAAAATGTTCTAGATAATGATGGAAACTATTTTGCTTCATATGTATTGAGAAAACTTCTCACAATAAATTGTGTTTTTCGAGTGAAAAAATGATCAAAATTTTTGCAAGCACCTAATATTTTCCTAGCAAGATTTCGTTGTCTTAATAATCATAGAGACAGGAAAACATTGTACGTAATCCCCGATACGTATTTCCACGTTTGATAAATTCTCCTCAATAGACAATGAAAGCACGATCACCATCTGAAATGCAAGCTGACCTATGTATAAGTAGAAATTATTAAACGCTTGTAAACAATATTAAGCTAAATAATAAAAGGTGTTGGTCACTAACTTACATATACAGACACACTACTATCAATTTAACACTCACTTGTGGCTCTTGGATAGTCATTCTTTTCCACGCCAGTATCTGTGGTATCTGTTGAGTGTTGCTTACGGAAATTATGCATGTTTTTGGTTTTTTTTGTTTTTTAATATATATACAGAGTTTATTTATATATTTAATTGCTTTAGTAATTTCTAGCAAAAGAATACAAAAAAAAAACTGAAAATAAATAAAATAATTTACACAAGTTCTTTAATTTTGTACACACACGCACACGCAGACACACACACACACGTACGAATTGACGTAAATAACTTAAATGTCAACATCATATTAACAACACCCCTAGCAGAGTTACCGCATCCCAGCAATGTCAGTAAGTTGAAGATTACAACGTTTAAAAGTGTCAGTGCTTGTCAAACTATTTGGAGAATTTTTGCATTCATTCCATTATGATGCTAAAAAGTAAGGTTTACGTTATTTATTACGCACATGTTTGTTTACTTAGTTTATTTACTAATAATAAATCATTGACTTTCGTATTAACATATAATAGTGCAATTTTGTTAGAACTTGTTCGGAACTTGCTAAATCATTTTAGATATTATTCGTATCTCATAATACGGTTTTTATATGGATAGGAAAAACAATTTATTGAAGGCGTTTGTTCTTTTATTCTTATATAATAACAAAAAAAAAAAAAAAATTTAAAACACAATAATTTATAATTTATTTAAAACCGCAATGTCTAGCGGTTAGTTTCGTCATTTCTTATTTATTGACTAATTAAAGGAAAATTGCCTTCCTCATCAATTTGATGATGTTGCAAATGTTTCATGTACGCTAAGAAGCAAGTCCAAATTAAACTGCATACACTTATGAAAGGTACACGATTGCGTTCTGGTATAAAATAGAAATTCACTGTAGCCACAATGGGCCAAACAATGCCGCCAATCTATAAAAAAGTTATTTTATAAATAAATAAAGATCTTTAATCAGCTGGCTAAGAAAGGTACCTTAAATGTAGGCCAAAACTTTTTCCCCACTTCTGCAGCAGCTTCACCTATTGTTTTCAATTCCAGTAAACTCATAATAAAATAAAAGCACGTCATCGCTGCTGGCGTGTAAGAAATAGTCTCCACAGCCGCTTTTGTAAGAGCAGTGCCCAGTGTTGTTTGCGGCCACATTGCTGAAGATACCTTAATCCAACCATATAATGTGGGAGCAACAAAAAATCCACCATATAAACTAAAACGTAAGACACGCCACCAATCGTAGTTATCTGGAAATAATAATAAAAGTGTTTTCTATTCCGCATGATAAATTAATGTAAAAGAAACACTAAAAGCTTACCCCAGGTTTTACCTTCAATAGTTTGTTGTATTAAACTACTGGTGGGCCAGATGCAACTGTAAGAGACCATACCCCTTACTACCGGATATTTAATCATCAAAACTTTTAAATTTTGTACTATTGCGGACATGTTGTTTATCATATCTAAATAGTTAAATAATTGTTATCTCTCTCACGCTCTCTGTCTCTCTCTCTCTCTCGAGCCCTTATAAATATTTTCGTAAACTTTGTAACCAAACATTGACCTTATCATTGGAAGGGGTTAGCGCCTGCATCAAAACTAAATATTCGGAAGTGTTTAATGCAAATGTTTATAATTAACTTATTTACATAATTAATAAAAAAAAAAAAAAAAAAAAAGCAAAAGAAGAAGACGAAACAACGGTTGTATATGTGAAATGTTTAAATAGATCGCAAACTTACTGTGTAACGGCAGTAAGTCTTGAATCGACAAAATGTTAAGCTATCATCAACTTGTTTTTAAATGTTTTGTGATATTAACCGTACAATCAATAGCTTTTGGTCACGAACAGAAGATCGTTAATGGTACTACAGCTTTACCGGGTGAATTTCCATTTATGGTAAGTTAATATTTTTCACTTAAATAAAAATGTGGCCAAAGCTTAACTTCCATATATATATATATATATATATATACATATATACATGTCTACAAACATATGTACGTATAAAAGATTTCTTTAAGACGTTCATCAAGCGGTCGTCATGTATGTGGTGCTTCTCTCTTAAATCGTGTATGGGTTTTGACGGCTGCCCATTGTGTTAAAAAATCGAAACCCTTTCAGCTAAATATACAATACGGCAGCAATCTGTTAGATGTAAATTCCTCGAAAGTTAGCAACGTTTCTTATATATATGAACACGAAGGATACAATAGCTCTAATCAGTATATACACGACATAGCTTTATTACGTTTAGCAATGCCGATAAAATTGAAAAACAACTTTCAAAGTGTTCGCCTGCCCGAGTTAAAAGCTTCCATACCAAATAAAACACCAGCTATTCTAATAGGTTGGGGCTTAAATGCGGTAAGTCGAAGAGCTTTTTATAGGGTTTTCTCATTGAAGCCGCTCCTTACCAAACTTCGTTTTCTGTACCGTTTTCTTGAAATCAAGAAACTTAATTCTTCTAATCGGTCCCAATAACAAAACGAGACAGGACATGCGTCAACGTTGTTGATCTCAACTTCGTTTGTATGCAATAGAAATATATATAAATGCATTAGAGTCCGTCCATTTAGATGTGAATTTGTCGATTACGCATTCGTTGCAAAATTATCAGACCACTCTCTGCCACCAGTTTGCGATAAATTTTGATAAACCGTCTTCATCAGCATGAGTATAAAATAGCTTTGACTTAAGAACTACAGTGGGTCGAAGATAATGATTCTTAGCATTTGATTAGGCCAAAAGGTGAATTTTTTTATAACAAAAGCTTTTATATTCACAAGAATTGAATGTTTGCAAGTCGACGGCGTTTTTCGCCATGTCGCAGCAGACAGCATGGCCGACATCATGAGCATACTCTGCTCCTTTGCAAAATAGAGAATTTTCGTTTTCACGATACCTATGCTACTCTATGCTAAAACACATTTATGTTGTTGCATTATGTTTTATCGCCAAGACTCTCCAGTCAAGACCAGTCGCATTTACAGGCCGTCCCGCCTTGCACATTTATGCCTTGCCTGACACGAGAGTTTTGAATACTCGAAGAAAAGCAGAGTTTCAATTTCTCTTAAGAAGCTCTTCATTGCATCGATCTCAGGACGATCAACAATGAATGTAAATTCTTACTAAACTTGGGCTAATCGAACGCGAATTTTTTATTTAAGTTTGCAAGCGCTTTAATTTGTCAATGGGATGAACCTCACAAGAAGGCGAATAAAAACGGAGCGCTCCTTTGAAAAGATCCAACCCAAACTCTAAATATGTGAATAATAACGCGAATCTGCATTTTTTGTGTTTTGTTTCTAACTTAAAGACTGGCGGTATGATTCAAAAACATTTGCAAAAAGTCGATTTGGAAATATTCGACGATCAAAATTGCAGCGAACGTCACGATTTGGCAATGCATAATAGCACGATCTGCGCCGGTGTACCGGAAGGTGGAAAAGGTCAGTGCAGCGGTGACTCTGGTGGGCCGCTTTTAGTTAACAATACGCAAGTGGGCATTGTTTCGTGGTCGCGTAAACCTTGTACGCAACCCCCTTATCCAGGAGTGTTTACCGAGACTTCATATTATATCGGTTGGATATTGCATACCATTTTAAATCATGAAGAAGCCATAGGAACCGAAGAAAATGAAGGTGTGGAGGAAAGTTTAAAAGTAGGAAATTTAATAATTACCCTGAAAAGGCATCAATTTCAATAAGTAAAAGAATAACGGAAATGCCTGAAGCGCACTGGATTCTAATAAACATTTTTGGAATTCTACACTAATGATAACTGTAATAATTTCTTTTGTTTTTAGAAACTATTCAAATACATGGAAGCTTTCAATTTTCCTCACTTTTTCTTTTTTTTTTAAAAAATCTTTTTAATTTAAAATTTCTAAAGTTTACAAAAAGTATGTTACGCTTCTTATGCTTTGAGAGAAGATGTTCAAAGACATAATAGAAGAAGTTGTTTCAAGAAAGGGAAATTATATTGATGTCTTGAAAAAATTTATTTAAAACCAAAAGCATTTATTACGTATTGAATTTCATAAGCCACGTAGAACTCGCGACAGAATCTTACATATCCGGAATTTTGCGCCAATAGGTAAGACGATGGATTAGTATGCACCGTACAACGATATACTTTAAGATCCGTTTAGTGATTCCATCATTATGTTCGATGATGGATCGGCTTAGTCACGATAGTCGACTCCCTAGATTTTGAATTCAAGAACTCAAAGAAACCTCATAATAAAAAAAATAATTAAGAAAATATTGAAAATATTGAAAATTTCTATATATCAACCACTTGTTCGTCCGCGTAGCTGAGCGAGTAAGAACCGCGACTACGAAGTCAGTGTTCGCGAAATCAAATCTCAAATGCGGTAGCGTTTTCTTTGATCGGTGAAGGCGTAACACATCGATCGGAGATGCATCCGTTAGGCTGCGGCCACTACTTCCCAATTTTTTCCCAACTTTTTCTCTTTCCTTTGCTCCTCCTGTCAGTCACCGTGTTACGCGAACAAGAGACATTCTCTGAGGGATTGATCATAGAAATTTTATTTATTAAGTTAAGTTTGGCTTTTCAGTCATTCATCATTTGTTTTGAATTTACGCTAAAGTCTTCGCTATCGAGAAAAGGCTTCAATTGTTCCGATATGTAAAAAATACATTATACAATGACTTAAGACAACATGTAAACTTTGTGAATGTGTAAGCCCCAAAAGTGCTTAATACTAATGAGACTCGCGACTATAAGGGGAGAAGCGGATAGTGCCATATACCAAAGTGAAATACCAAAGTGTTTACCATAAATGAAGACAAAGAAGAAAATGGTGTTTTGTAGTTAAGTTCAACGGTTCATTTACTCATTTGATGACGCATGGGCTAAAATCTCGTAAGCAAGGCAAAGACTTTTTTTATAAAGTCCTTCTCGCGAATGAGGTTCAATATCGGTTCTCATTGGCTTCGAAAGCAATCAAGATTTTCGCATTTTAGTCAAACCATCCACATAGGAAACTGCATGGAGTGCATGTGTACTTATAATTAGTGACTTATTTGTTGTGCTGCTATTTACGTCAGTGACCATTCCATAATTCAATTGGGAACGCTTTATCCGGCGAACTAAAAGAATTGGATGTTTTCGACATGTAATTTCAAAATAGTCACCGGAGCCTCCGTCGTGCCAAAGAACCAATTTTCGAATTGCGTTAAGGAAGGAGAATTTAATAAAGAATTGTATTTTATTGATTTGTATGAGGATTTTGAATATTTGTCGGCAAACTTTGCTTCAGCGTGAGTATAATTTTTTACATCTCCCTTAGCTTAAGGTAAAGCAAGAGGCAAGAGTTGCCATCATTCATTCATTCATTCTACGATCAGTTGAATGCAATTTTGTTTCACGCTATTTGTATGATTGATTCAATGCTTAATATGATGATCATTATTATTTTAGGTTTCTATGCGTTACGCTGATAACATGCAGCACATCTGTGCCGGGACAATTATTAATACCATGTGGATATTGACGGCAGCACATTGTTTTAAATTTATAAAAACTCCTCGGGATTTATTAATACACTATGGCACAAATTGTTTAGTTATGAAGAAATCAAAGCATTCAATGTTAGCAGCAATATCAGCATTTTATATACATGAAGGCTACAGTCCCACCATCGCTATACATGATTTGGCTTTAATACGATTAAAAGAGAACTTGGTCTTTAGCGACTATATAAGAAGTGTTCAGTTACCGGATGGTCACGAGCAAAATAATTACGATAATTTAAAAGTAGACTTAGTCGGGTGGGGTTCCGATAAGGTTAGCTTAGGACGGATATTTCTTTATAAGCGTACTTGTTATCACAAAAATAATTTTTTTTTTTTTGTTATAAATTTTGACTTTACTTCAGACATTTGGGTCTTTGCAGAAGCAGTTACAAAAAGTCTCTTTAAATACTGTGGAAAGACAAACCTGCGGCAGGTTGTTAAACTCGATTGTCCATCGTTCAAGTTTGTGTGCTGGTGATATTCATAAAGGACAATGTTCCGGAGATTCTGGAGGGCCCTTACTATTCGATAATATACAAATTGGTATTGTATCCTGGAGCCTAAAACCGTGTGCTTCAAAACCGGCAGTATTTACAAACCTAAGTTATTATATGAAATGGATTAAAGCAATAGTAGAGAAATAAATAATAAAAAAAAAAAAAAACATTGATTATAAGTATTGCCCGGGATATGTCAATATCTTTGAAAATCGATTTCTTTATTATTATCTCTTTTTTCATGTTTTATATGGGCTTTATGTCATTTTAACCGATTTTTTTTTAACCCATGCCAGGAAGGCAGTCCAACATACGCTGCAAAAGCCAATAAATAATAGACGAGTCCGTTCAGGCAGCACTGAATAACTGAAAAGTTGTAACAAGGGCCAAACGCAGGAAGCTATCTAAAGTTTTAATTTTTTGCTTATTATATTTGTATAGAATTTTTATAAGATTTCGACACTTTAAACATTTGAACTGACCTTAAATGTGGGTAAAAATTTTTCATTAGCTTCTTTTCGAGCGTTTTGAAATGTTTTACCCTCTAATAGAGCCATGCCTAGGAAAAACGTATAGGAAGAGAGAGGACTGAGAGATACTTGCTCTACGAGTGTCTGTTATAAAATGTTAAAAAAAATTCTTTAAAACAATTGTTTATAATAAAAATACGATTGACCATTAATTTGTTTACCTTCGCTAGGCCCGATTTGAAATTAGTGTTTGGCCACATGGCCGAGGTCAGTTTAATCCAACCGTGCAGTAATGGGGCAACATAGAATGCGCCAAATAAACTAAATCTCATCATGGTTACATAATCGTAGTGTTCTTGATTAATATTGCACATGAGAAGAGAGAAAGAAATGATGATCATTTTCGTATATTGCGTGCGTGATACTTACTATAATTTTTGTCGTCAATATTTTGATGCAGAAAGCTTCCCATAGGATATAAGATTGCGTATGTTATGCAATTGCCTAGAAGAGGACGCTCTAAATATATACGTCTGCATGTCTTTAATAAGCTTCTCGCAAAACACATGTTTATCTTGATTTTTTCGAAGAAAAACTATTAAGAAAACTTTTCATAACACAATCACGAGGAAATTTTTACGTACGATTACGTCGCGGGCTGCAGTATATGCTTAAGCTGTACGGATGTCATGTCTTGCATTGAGACCAACATTACAATTTATAAATCGTTTGCCTTAATATTCTTTTCTTCATATAAATTTTTTTCTTCTTCTTTTTTTTAAATATATTTTATTTATAAATTTTTCTCATAATTGTTTGCCAAATTTGTGAAAAGTTTTCAATTTCCAAAAGATGATTTTAATGATTTAATAAAAAAAAGAACAATGATAATAATAAAAAACTGAAAATTTCATATTTGAAAAGACGTAAGCAGACTTGAGTGAAGTAAATTGAATGCATATTTGAAGGGTTTCTCTTTTACAACGATAAGCTAATCTCTAGGGCTTTGGAACGCCAGCCTTAATTTCTCAGATACATTCAGATACATTTATCTAAAGACATATTTTAAATATCCATAATTTTTGCAGATATACAAAATACCTTTTGGGATTATAGGTTGTTATACTCTGCGCCACTTGCGGTACAGGGATGTATGCAACATTCAGAAAGGCTCAAGCCTTTCTCACCTAGACTCACCTTTGATAACATCGATCGATTCGGTATCAATTTCTGATCTCATCTAAACTTGTCCGTCCGTCTTGCATATTTGTGTTTAGTCTACAAGTCGTAATTTTTGTGTTATTTTGATGAAATTTGGTAGATCGACGTATTTTGGTGCAAGAGCGAACGCTATTGAAAACAATTTGGATCGGATCATTTGTGCGAACATTTCTTATATAACGTCATAGTTTGAAAAGTCGTTATATAAATAACCGTACTAAGCGAACTGATGTGATGGGGTGGCGACTCATTGCACTGATATATAGCCACTTAGCGAAATTTGTGAATTACATAAAATCACTCGTAGCTTTCGAGAAGACTATACTTTTATACTTCTTTATACTTGAAACTGTTATTTGATCCGTTAAATTTTGTATCATGAGGGGATAGTTCTATTGTATTTTAAATAAAATATTCAAATTTAAACATGGATAGTGTATTCTTCGACAGTCGAATGATGGGGACCTATCCAACATGGAGTGCAAAATATCGTAATCGCACAGATCGACGATGTTCTTCGGGATCATTTTTTGAGAAATGCTCGAAATGAAATTTGCAAACGACCTTTGGCAGGCCCAAATATTTACAATTTCACTGGCCAATGTGTCATAGAAGTCAACCAATACCATTAAATGGTTAAATGGTTCTTTTACGTGAAGGAAGGGCAAAACCATCGAATTCAAGCTTTGTATACACTGGTATTTCGCAATTCTTTATCATTTTTACCTATAGAAGCCGCTGATCAAAATTTGTGCAAACACCTAATAGAAATCGTTATTGTGGTTATATTTTTATCGCTTTCATGCGAATTTTTTTTTTTTTTTGCAGCGTGAATGCTTGTAGAGCTCTTCGCACAAGCGTAGTTTCCTTTCCCTTATGGTGAATAGTTAGTTATTCGTTCACGACTCGAAAAATCTGACCGAGTGACGGTTGTATTTGAAGTGTAGATTTTATTTAGAAAAAATGTTTTACTAAAATTTTCAAAAGTTAGTTCAAATAAAGCTTTATTCAATGTTTGCAATGAAAAGCTCCTTTATTTTTTTAAAGCTCATTTGCGCTTTGTGTCAGACATTATAATTTTCGCTTCTTTATTTTAATAAGAGACGGGATAAAGAGAAGGTGCGATTACGTTTATATTGCTTAGCACGTAAATAAATTAGAGCTTACCCTACCACTTGTGGTACAGGATACATTAAGTTAGGGCGGACGGATGTAACATGCAGAGGGACTTAAGATAAACCCACCTTTTATTATACCAATCAATTCAGAAACGTGATCTCAATTGATCTAAGTCTATCTGTCCATCTGTTCATGTGCGCAGGTAAATTTGTATTCAAGGCATATGTCGCAATTTTTGAGATATTTTGATGAAACTTGGTAGAGTGACGAGAAAACTTTGGACCGGCTGGGGCAATTTTCGAATCATTTTTTACATAATGAAAAGTAAACCAAAATGATATAATTTTTAATACTTTACCATGAAAGTAATTATATAATAATAAAAAAATTAACTGTGCCAAATTTGGAAGAATTTTCACGAAAATTGATCTTTGGTAGAGCGGAAAAGTTCAAGTTTAAATATGAAAATTGAACCATAAAAGTAATTTCATACAAAAATGAACTCTACAAAGTTTGGACCATCTATATTGGACCATTTTTGGATACTGCTCTATGTAAGTATTAAATTTGTACTGCATTAGGTTGCGTTTTGACCCCGCTTCCCAATAAATACGCACTTAAAAAATATGCCTTTATATTGGAACAAGATATTATTTTTGTATTCTATAACAAAAATAAGAATTATTTTAGACAATGTGGTGTAGGGTGCTTAAGGGTCGCTCTTGCCCGATTTGCTAGTTTTTTTTCTATTTTCAATTGTTTTGCTTCTTCGTAGGAACCGTTCTGAGGTAAAGTCGGATAATTTTTATCTGCAATTCAATATTCTCTCTTCGACGTTCTTTATTATTATTATTATTATTATTATTATTATTATAAATTTAGCCAGGGAATAAATTCTAAGACTAAGGTTTTAAAGCGCTAGCATCTAAGGCTTTCGGCTTTATTAAAAAACTCTACCGCACTTGAGATTTGAATCCACGATCATTGAATTGAAAGTCGAGACTCTTGCCTACTCGGCCGCTCAGGCGAATTTTGACGTTCCTTTAAAAGTTATTTTACCTATAAGTAGGACTTTCTGCATTCCGCAAAAAAAAAAAAAATGAAAAAAAGAATCTTATTTTCCTCAAAATCCCTCGCGCCATTCGATTGGTCACTGTAAAAGTGATGGCGGATCTCTTCAACTGTCGAATACCGACTGGAATAGACCAACATTTTGATATCATCAGTGATGACATTTCGCAAATCTCTTCATACATTTCTATGCGGGCATGTGAAGTCTCCTTTTATATTTGATAAAAAAGAAGAGAAAAAGAGAACGAAATATATCAAAACATAATTCAATTTCCACGAGTCATAATAAATACTTCCTTCAAAGACGAGCACATACTTAACTTGCCGACTGAATATATAGCAATTCTCGTGTTGAATACACATATGTGTAAGTGGCAACATAACTAATACTTGCACTTATTACATTTTTTTGCGTGGACTTGCGTACACAAATTCAAAATTGCTGTGTTATCACAGGTGAGAGTTGGCGCCTTAGGTCCGTAGAGTTTAAGCAAAAAATTATTCGTTTTTTGTAATTTTCTTTGCATACACTGACTATTTTTATACCTATCTCAAATATTGTGGCACTAGGCTTGTGGATATAATATAAGAATGTGTATTGAAGTCTTAGCCTTTTACGTCAACTCTTGCCACGTTATTGAGCTGCCAAACGGGTAGACAGTTCATCTTTTCCATTTATCTGGGAGTGAAATTAAAGTGTCCTTAATATAGATTGGCCTGTCGCTGCAGCAGACGGACAAACCATGAGATTTAAAAATATCTTTACCGGTAAGACCTCAGTGATTGATTGTGTGCTATGACAAAGAAAGTGAAAATTTAGTGACGGAACATCTCTGCTTAGCAGAGCAGAGAGCGAAAAGAAATGGACTCTCTCAACTATAGCTGATCGCCAATAAGAACCGATAGAGTATAGAATGTTTAATAATCTTTAAATTTATGACAGCAGCACTTAAGTCCAAGTCAATCAAGTTGTAGTTCTCATTAAATCGTCTCCACAATCTTCGGATAGGATGATTATTATCGTAGTGTATTCTATAGTGATTGGTATTAAGTCTTCAAAAGTGCCGTGACGCTTACTGTGGAACATTTTTGTTGATTGTAGAGAGTAAGTAGACGGAGTCAGGTATGCCATTCAGAAGTTTACGAACAAAAAGTACGTTTAGCATAATTTGTTTGCTTCCTAGAGTGGGTAACCTTATTAGCGCTACACGATTTCTATATGATGAAAGGCGAGTGTTAATGGAAACCTAGACGGACAATAGAAATTCCTTTTATATGAGTTCAATTAGTTTAAGTCATTAAAGATTTTATTGTCGATCCCAGATAATAGAACCGGAATTCTAGAATATGCCATACTAGCGACATAAACAGCGATCGACTATCAACATGTCTCGTAAATTCAGTCCCGTGCCCTTAAATACCTGATAAGCTTACGTTACTATAAAACTCAGTTGGGCTTTTAAAATGCATCTCTCCGTTTTTATTATGATATTATTGTCATTCTTTCAAAATAATTCATTCATATATATATATACACAAAATCGTTTTCTACAAAATATAAAAAAAGCTTAGACAATTTTTCATTATGCTTTAAAATTTCTAAATATGACGAGGTAATGTTTTCACTTGTACTGTATATTGCTTTGATGATCAACAGAATTTTGCAGGTCCGTGCGTTTCATAAAAGCTAAGAACGTGGTCCATATTATACTACAAATGCTAACAAATACTATACGATTTTTTTCAGGTATCATGGAAAAATTTATAGTTTGTATTATTGGCCATACGCACATGGCTACCTGAAATTTGACATAATATTGAAGAAAATAAATTCAAATTGAAATCATATTTACTTATTTACTTACCTCAAAAGTAGGCCAAAATTTTTGCTTGGTTTCTTCGATGGCTTCTTTAAATGTTTTACCCTCCAATAGTGACATACCTATGAAGAAGCTGGCACAGGCAAAAGGACCATAAGATATTTGTTCTACGGCAGCCTAAAATTTTTAATAATTTTTTTTTTTTTTGGCATTGCTTCGCAACATTTTTGCATATATATCTTTTTCTTTTTTTTTTTTTTTTGGTAATCACCTTCTTTAGACCTATTCGTAGCGTCATTTGCGGCCACATTGCTGTTGATAATTTCACCCAACCATATAACGTAGGAGCTACATATAGCGAACCAAATATACTGAATCTGAGCATACGCATATAATCGTAGTTTTCTTAACCGTAGAGTGAAGTGAGTGTTAGAAAAAAGACAAAGCAAAAGAGACAAGTTTTTAATTTTATTTAGAGCCTTCTATAATAACATTTGGTACTTACTGAAATTTTTGCCATCCAAACTTTGTTGTATCAAACTACCGGTAGGCCATAACACTGCATAGGTTATGGAGCCTCTTAATAACGGATGGGTCGTAGTAAACAAGCGCCAATGATTTTTTATAAAAGTTAACATATTTTTACTAATAATTTAAAGTAACAAATGCCGAAAATCAATTTGAAAACTTGCGGAAAACACGCTCTAAAGAAAAAGCACGGGGTTCATCTTATTAATTCAAATATCCACATTCACAGACACTGCTTAATTTTAATCTACTGCATAGAAAAAAACATTCATCCAGTTTCGAGCAATTTGTTCATCTCAACAACACACAAAAACAAAACTCATGGAATCTTATATCTATTTTTATACCCATCACCGAAGTATGACGGGTGCATTCAATCTAACGAAAGGACTGCAACGCCCAGAAGGAGGCTTCACAACCCGTTTGATCAAATTCGGAATAAGTTTAAGCATGTCCGTCTGTCTGTGTGTCCAGTTGCAAATGCACGAAATGCAATTTAGTATGTCCGCCGGTCCACCTATCCGTCTGCCCAATGCAGCTTTACAGTTATGCAATATATTTCGCAATTTTGTTGGAACCACAGGTCGGACACACACAGCTCATTCAATTTACACTGAAAACATTTTACAAGGAGCTACTGGGACGAATTTTGGTACTGAGAATGAATTCGATATCGATAAATTTGCATTTTTATAAAATACTCTCGCGTACAGCGAGAATATGCTTTTCACTCCTTGCATGTTTAGGCCTTGCAGGCACGGAAACGTTGTGATTTATTTACATTGGTTGAAATTTATTGGGCAAGATGGTTGACTGTTCATTTGCCGGGACAATTGCCACGTATATCGTAATTTTGATAAAAAATTTATACAAGTTGACAGATCAAAAGAAATTAGATTATGTGTGAAACAAGAAGAAGATAAGATACCTTTACGAGAAATTGTATTTTCAATTTTTTAAGGCACTATTTGAAGAGGTTGCAGCAAACTCGTACTTATGATCGACTCAGGTAGGCTTTTAGTTACAAGTGATTACAGACAGGGATCATGAGGAGGAAAGGGAGAGCGCACTTTTACTTATGTTCGATTTGAAAGTGCAGAGATATAGAACGGCCAGATAATCTGCAATGGCTAGATTGTTCTAAACGTGGGCAGCGCAAATAGACTTTGAACTGCCACGATAGTGTGACAAGTGGGCGAGAGCAGTGAGAAAATTGTGGTCGATTCCCTCCAGACTAGGGAAGCTCGAAGCTTTCTCCTCCATGAAAGTCGCCAAGATATTTCTTAACTATGGGCAAGGCGAGATTACTTCTGATTGAACTTTTAGAGACACTTGCTCTATTAATTCGATGTGTACTAAAAATTAAAAATTATTCTTCCAAAATATTTTCAAATCCAACGAAAATTATTGGGTATTAAAAGTTGTAATATACAGAAATACGCTTCGCAGTTTCCATAGAGCATATATATTTTTGATGAGCATACGATTCAGATATATCTTCTATATATCGGTTCGTAGCTGAAGAACATATTAAGAAACGCTGAGAGTCTAACTATGCTTGCACATAATAAGTGCTCTACAGAGATAAAGGAAATTTGTCCACTAATCAACTGCTTTCATAAAACTAAAGGGCTTTCTCAGTTCTCTCTCGCACTTGTTCTGGACTTGGCCGCATACCATGCCACACATTGGACTGTTCGTTTTTTAAAAGTGCTGCATACCTTTGAAACAAACTACATGGATTGTTGTGTTTGCTCCAAAGTTCGCCTCAAACGTAGACAAAATTTTCTCCCTTTCACTTGCTTACCCTCTTCCACTGTCTCTGTCTTTCGGTGTCTACACACTTACGGAACATAGGCAGCGGGTGTGTAGCTAGCTTTACGACTAATACACACTTTTTACTTGCTAATTTTGGATTAGTTTTTTTAGCTTCTAACCCGTTGTAGAACTTCATCTGTAGACAAGAAACAAGAATGCTTATTAAGCTTGTAGCTTTCCAAGTCAATTGTTACTAAGAGTGTTTCAACAACAAAATACGAACAAGGGCGCTTGATTAATTTGTACATTTTATCAGATTAACCAAATTAGTTAAACTCCTTCTGCTCGATATTGATCGATTAGCTATTTTACTTATAATATATGTAATCAGGTGTAGATATCAGTGAAATCAGTTTACCATTTATCGAACGCTGACTAACATCTGATGCTTTCCAATAACTTTATATAGCTAAACTATAGCTATAGAGCTAAAAGTGTATATGTTCTCCAATTTCTCCAATAATCTTAGCCTATAATATACTTAAGATATAATAAGAAAGATCAATTTGAATTTATAGTAAGACATTTGATATTTTGCTGCAATCTTCGATAATGATTCTCTTCATGTTAATTATAATGATCCGTTCAAACTCATTATTTAATCACTTTGCTGATTTAGAGGATGGGATCGGATGTAGGGATTTTGTAAGATTAAAAGAAAGAAAGCAAAAAAAAAAAAAAAAAAAAAAAAAATAAATAAATAAATGAAACACTAAGCACGTGCAATTGCAGTATGGGTGGATGGGTGTGTGTATTTAATTTTCTTTATCATCAATTAACAAATTTTACCTTCGAAACGTGTTCATGAGATTTAAAGCAGACGCTTTAAATAATTTTTGTTTACTTTTTTCTTTTCTTTTTATTTGTTATAGCAACAATTAGTTTATTGTTGTCACTTAGCCAAACGTGTATGAAAATTATTTTTAGTTATTTTTGATCGCATAGATTTTTCTATGCAGGAAATTGTTGAGATCTCAAGTTCAAGGTTTTTCACCGAAACAGCCTAAGGTCAATGTTTGGATTCTGTTTACATTCATTTTGAAATAAATTTCTTACGTACGTGTATTAATTTACAAAAAAAAAAAATAAAAATATAATTCTTTTATTTTTCAATTAACTTATAATGATTCGTAAAAAAATTTATTATTTTTATCTCAAATCACAAATTTTCTTTTGCATTTTAGTTCACGATCTGCATGTTATAAGATTTGCCAACCAACTGATCTAATCTCTATATATCTTTGAAATTTACAAAAAAAAAAAAAAAAAAAAAAAAATTTAGGGTGAAATAAGTTGCAAGAAAACAATATCAGCGAAGGTTATGACGTTCTTTTTGAGAAGAAAGCTTTTCATTAGCATAGTGACATCAGAATTTTACCGTTTTTTGATCGTATCACAACACTAGCCGTTGATGGCCTCAAGGGATGGGAAGGTGAGGATGACCAAAATTATGAAACCAAGCTATCGTGAATATATTTCTTACCCCTGGATACAGAGTGGAATGGATTCGAATTTTATTCGATTATTTATCTTGAGATCCTGAGATTATAGAATTTTTTTGAGATGATTTGAGCAGTGCGCGCGAAAGGTTGGCCGGAAGGGCATTTTCTCACAATAACTAATTTTGTCATTTATGTGAAATTTCTTTGCATTGCTTCTCGCGTCGATCTCGTTTAGGAAATTGTAGCAGAGTCTTAATTTTTTACTAGACAGATTCTTCTTCAATCGAAGAATGTAACTTCAGGCAGTTTTTTTTTTTTAAATAGGAAGAAAAGCCTTCTTCAGTTTAGCCTCTGCCAATGAATAAGATATGTACTAATATTACAACCGGAGGCAGGATGCTCATCTAATTCGTTCACTCTGCAGTCGTCGCGGATACTTCAAGAGATACTAACGTTCCCTTGGCGAAAGTATAATTTGTCTACCATTTTTTTGGATGCAGTCCTCTTATCTTCATAAAACAAGTCGCAAGAAACCGCCAAAGGTTTGTGTTTTTCGCCATTAAAGCAACTGCTTTGAGCCTAAGACTTTTTTAACTGACTTTTTTAATTAAAGATATACCTTTTCGTCATCCGATTCATAGTAGCAAAAAACAGACATCTTTACCCACAATATATCGATCAATAATTCTCGAAACTAAGTAAGAAAAGAATATCTTTGTATAAAAATTCGCTTTTATTCGTTTGAACGTAGTATCCATCAAAAGGAATACAATCGGTCTATCGATTGTATAGATTGACAATCGTCTGACGATATCGTTTTGACGCTACTTATTATTGTACGTAATGCTGCAGATTTACTCTCGCCTGACGCGCGCCCATCAATATCATCAATTGCTCGCTCTCAATTGAGTAAATGTCCATGAGAGCGTATATATATAATTTTTAATAAAACTTAATTATCTACGTGGACATAGATGTGTTTTTCGCTTTAACTGATAGAATTTCTGCTATGCTATGGCGATCATCGGAGAGTATATTGATTTGGTCAAAACATTTGTAACGTTCATAAGAAAGTAAGAGAAACACTACATAGTATATATATACTTGAACCTTTCCTCCAGGGTCGCCATGTAGAGAATATGATCATTGGGACAGCAAGTAAAATTTCAATTCATGCAAAGTTGCCATAACAGTCAATGACTTACGACAAGGACAATCTGTTCTAAAACGACTACGTACGGTACTTGTTCAAAACACAATTCTCTCATGTCGAAATTTTAATACGAAATAACGAATTTATTATCTCTTCATATCTATATCTCCTCTCATATAGTAATGTCTTTCTCTTATTTCATTGCTCGTTAATCGGGAATAATTCTCATGATCTATTGCTTTCCACATGATTGCTATTCGAACGAATTTAAAAATTTGCAAATCATCGGGAAATTCTTGCTTTCGGTGGAGAACTGTGGCGATAACATTTTTCAAGTCAATGTCAAGTTTAACCAGTTAACTGTGTCGACCTTCTACGAGATGAGCATAGTATATGTAATTAGATTGTAATGAAACGACTTGATAAAATGGCAAAAATATTTTCTAAAATACATTATTATGAGGAACACAGGTTCATAATAATAAAATTTTATGAGAAAATCCAACAAGGGCGGATGGACAGAACATGATATATATATATATATACTTGTCATACACAATTAACTGACAATTGGTTATTGGTTTTATTAAGACACTTTTTTCTAGTGCCTTGAAAATAAGAAAAATACGCTGACTAACGCCATAGTATGTCGTAAACAAATGATTGAAATGACATGAAATTTTGACAGATGTCGTTTAAAATTTTATTGCTACAAATGAAGTATATCTATGTCACGTACGCCTGGAGAGTTATTGATCAATACGCTATGTCTATATGTTGTAAGAGCAATGACGAAGTTAGTATGAGTTTAACCTTCAGTGACTGATGTAAAAAACGATTACTAAGAGATTTAGCTTAAAAGCTTTTTCATACCGTTAGTGTGTTTAAAATAAGACCTATAAGCGCATTCACTTTTATACGTCACTAGGAGCGAATACTACTTAAGAGGAGAGAACAAAACGTGTGCGATCAGCTGATCTGATTCTGATAAGCAATAGCGTCATTCAATTACATTAAACACGCTATAGATCAAGAAATGAATAAGCACTCAGTTACTCAATTGTAACGATACGACACAAAAGTAATAATGAAATAAATTACCAGGAAATGCGTATACAATCTATATATGCATACATATGTATACATATATACATAATGATAACGGTTGTATCTGTGATATATACATATATATATATATATATATATATATATATGTTTATATTAATGTTGAATTCTTTTTTTTTTTTTTTTCAATATTTAAACTACATACATACACACGCACGCACACAGACACACGCACACAACCAAATATAATCATTTTACATACTATCAAGGTGAAGGTCGTAATATTCAAAAATTCATTTTTTTTTACGTTTCTTTGAATATTTGAGTGCAAAAAACACGAGAGAATCGTTATGAATATATTGAAAAATGTGAAAAAAATTCTTTTTTCATTTTTTTCACATTATTGAAGGAAAAGCGTTTCTATTTAATCACCCGTCCACCCGTTGAATTATACTAAATTTATATAAACTTTGCAAACAATAGACTTGAAAGGCATTATACGATACCTTAATACCAGAACTTTCTGTTAAAAAGAAAGCTTTAAGTAGTAAGCTTTCCTTTTTTTTAAATAAATTTTATTAATAATTTTCATATGTTCATACAGTTTGAATAGCATTGTCAATGGATAAGTCTTTCAAAGCACATATTATAAAATGAGCAAAAAGAGAAAAAAAAACCATTTATTTACAATATTTAATATAACATGTACGAGAATAAATGAAGTAATGGAATTTAGAAAAACAATGCGAAGCGAAGTTAGTTCCTGTAGTTATTTTAGTTGTTTTTTTTGTTTCTTTCTTGGGTTATAGCAGAAAATCATACGCGCCTAAGTAAATCTTGTATTTATTTATTTATTTATTTTATTTTATTTTTTTTTTTTTTTTGGATTGTTGGGTGGAGATGGACTAAGCCATTAGATAATCTTGTATTTAAATTTAATTTTGTGAAGCGCAATAATTGATCTCCTCCGTTTGCTCTTCTGAAAGTTCGTGTTTTGGCGACTGTTCTTCATCATCTCCATCTCCATTTCCATCTCCATCGGCATCTCCACCTCCATCTCCATCTACATCTACGTCTCGATCTCGATCTTGATCTTGTCCTTCTTCGTCGCTTTTACGATTAAATCGCAATATACTTAAGAATTGTTCGCGGAATATCAAATCTTGATATTTCTCAGCCAATTCCGCACAACATAATGGTTCGCCTGGATGTTTGCGATGGCATGCAATTAATTCGTTTCGTAGCTCTAATATTTTACCGTCAATGTTATTCGTCCATTGCACGGGTCTGCTTAAATAATTTTCCAAATTCGCCATACACTTGCTGAATTGACGATCTTCGTATTGATTGTATTTACCGCCGTCCAGGAATTCGCCAGGTGAACGGATTCCATTTTCGCGGTCACGTCTTTGATTTAGATTATGCGTATACGAATGCTGGTACGATCGCTGCTCATCCGATTTCTTCTCATATGATTGCTGTCCATACGACCTACCTTTATTCTCGTATGGCTGCTGCTGCTGCTGCTGTTTTTGATGTTCAGGCTGTTGCATCGATTGTTCTTGCTGCGATTGTTGTTGTTTTTGCTGTTGTTCTTGTTCGTATTGCCGTATACTGGTTTGGTGTTCTCGTTCCTGCAGATCTTCCAAATTACGAACGGCAGCATTATGTAATGTTTTTATATCTAGCTTTTCCTCGTCTTGATTTTGAGCATTTTCTATGCGCGTGACAACCGACGGCGAAACTTGGACAGTAATCCTGCTTTCCGGATTTTCAATGCGTGCCGTTTGTGGGGCGGAGTTATTAGCACCCATTCATGAATTTCTGCGCTGGATTTTATAAATTAATAATATTTAATAAAAATTTAGATGTAAACGCAAATTTCAATTTTCGAATTTTCAATTAATAATTTTGACAGTTCACCGATGTACATGCAACTCAAAGTGACACTTTTCTCAATCATAGGCAATTTTTACAGAGTTGTTCTAAATTTATATGTCTTTCATTGTTTTCGATAAATACTTTAGATAGGTACCTCTAGGTATCACTAAATAAATTGTTAGAACACAAACTTGAGCTATATTGAGCTATTGCGAAAGCATTTAAGCTCAGGTCATTTAATTCTAAAATTTTGAAAATCACATAACTCTACATATAACTTAAAAAAAAAAAAGGCATATACAGAAATAGCAAATGGGAGTAAAAGTATCCCGATTGGGATAAAATTTAAAGAAATTTAATAAACATTTCAACTAAACATTTTAACAAGAATATTTTCGAATTATCATTTTCAAACGAAATTTTCAAACGGATTATTCTTCCTCCCAACCGTGACGCTAAAGTCTAAGAACTTAAATCATATATATTTTAATTTTCAGTTTTCCTCATAAATTATTGTCACAGCGCGACAAATCAGATAGGGACAGAGGGACGGATAAACGAATAGGGATTTGGAGACTTTATTCTTCTTCTTCTTCTTCTTTATTCTTTATTTTTCTAGAGTTTTGCAAAAGTGACATACGTATAACTAGCCGTCAAATAGCAAACCGACTTATGGATATAAATTAATT